ATCTAGCCACTTCAATTTTGATAATATCACGTTGCGAGACGCATTTATGAATCTGAGAGACACTCAAACGAGCACATTCGAATTCTTGAATTGTGAAAGACTAAGTGTGATTCCTGCCAAAAAAAAAAGAAGTAATTGATTCCAAGTTGCCAAATGTTAACTGTGTATCGAATATCGTGAAAAATCGGTTTATTGTATATAGATAGAAGATATGTATACACATAGCATTCTTTATTATAGTCTAGACTTTCGGTTAATAAAAGTACCCCAAAGCTGTAAATCGATCGTTTCAATTATGATTCAGGCAACTTCCTCAATCCTTATTAACAAACTCATTAATCACAATTAATTATGATTGACTTTTTTTTCAATTCATAGAAATATCAAAACCAACGATTAATTTATTCACAAGCACGCACGCGTACGCGCGCTGCAGAATGCAGAACTCCGATTGAACGGAATATTAATAATAATAAAAGTTAAAAGTTATAATTTGTTCTGTAAGAATCATCTTTAATTTTATAGTAATTTTTATTGCAACGCAATTATTTCTTTTGTACGAAAATAATGCGCAACGCATGTTATTTATGATTTAATTACCATTCCGACGAAATGGAATTTCCTAGCGTATCTCCGGTAATACGTTAAGTCACATGACTAATTAATTAATTATAATAGCGGCTTAGACCGGACAGCTTAGAACGCCCCTGTGGTACGCGCAGATTTCGTAATTAACTCGAGTCTATCCCAGAGCGTCAATCAGTTCCGATCTGATACGTCGGAGAAGCTATAGCTTCAAGGATGTATACCTTCTAATAATACATGCTTCAATGCAAGTCCGTTTTATGGTTGTTATACATCTCCAAGGTATCAAATGCGATCCCGTGGCAGGTAAGTGAATATAAGTACATATTAAAGCTATCATGTAACAAGATTTACCTAAAGTATTAACATTTATATATAAAGTATTAATTTATATATTTGTATATCCATAAATGTTTTTCAATTAATTGTTAAATTTGTTTCAATTAATTGCTAACTCACAGTCTCTCGAATGTATGATAGTTTTTTAATCAATATATATTAATACCTTCATTTTTCCACGAGTATCATTCTCATGTATGAAAATGTATAAAATAAAATATTGGAAAACATTATATTATTCTTTTAGTATAATAAAATTAAAAATTTTACAAAATATTTAACGTTGACTAAAATGGTAAAAAAGCGTATAACGTTTGTCTCATTTAAATATTTGCGAAATAAACTAAATAAGTATAACAAATGTACAAAATGTGTAAAAAGCACTAAAAATTGTAAGCATAAGGGAATTTGCGACAGCAACGTCGACTACAACATCTATGTTCTTTAAAGAGGCTGAAGTATCACAAGAAGTTTGAAATAAGATTGCTACTGAGTAAATTTAATGAGAATATAACAAGAAGAAACGCGACAAGAAAAGTCAGCATGATGCATCGAGAGCTCTAGAAACATGTTGAGCAGTGCAATTATGAACTCTAATTAATTCCAGGAGTTTCGTCTAACTGTCGCATGTCGGTAATTTATCTCAATATATAACGGTCGTAAATATGCGCCGCGGACACGATCGTCCAGTGCTTCCACTTATTTCATAATCATATTCTGTAATCTCATCAACGAGGGTCAGCGTACTTTTACGCTGGCATAAAACTCACGCTACTTTATGAAGGTAATCTTGAAACTAACGCCGGTCCCTTCACAATACCCTGTCTCTCCTTCTCTCTCTCTCTCTCTCTCCCTTTAGTAGAAAATATATAAGATACTAGCTAGTATAATTAACGCAGGCATGCATGGTGAAACTCTTTCTAGCAGAAAAAAAGCAACAGAACGAACATAATTAACGGAGATCTAGCAGAAATACGTACGTTGATATTAAGAAGCAGATATATCACTTTCATAATTATTTATTACGCTGTTCATTTAACGGAAAAATTAATCTTCCTTCACGTCATTATTCACTCGTCTTCTATGTTCCTCACTGATTATACTCGCGGCTTATCAATCTTATAAAACATTCTACTGCAAATCTCCAGCCGTAATTTTATAATAAAGTAGAGAAGTAAATTCATATCTACGAAAACGTTTACAATACGGTCATTTTCTTGCTATGCTTTTTGTTAAAAACAAGAAAAGCAGCATAATTGTATTTACAATTTCAAAATGTAGTGTAAAAGAAAAAAAATTGTAAAGTACAATAAGGCAATATTACAGTTTGTTAAAGAACAATTGATATTGTTTGAGATACTAAGAACTAATATTTCAAAGTTAAAGAGAGGCAGTTGAGCTATTAAATCTACCACGTGTAATAAGCTACATTTCCACTGAAATCGCTCTTAGAAGACGTATATTAAAATTTTTCCGTGTTTCCTCACACGTTTTTAATGTTTCCTCATCCGTGGAATAAAAATCCCACATTATTACTCACATTATTATCCCATTTAACCATGTGAATGTAATTAACAGAGCAGTTAATTAGTATTTCAAATAAAAGCAAAAAATGAAAGAGATAACGACTACAAATCTTGCGGAATGGTCAGGAAAATTTTGCAGACGCATGTCGGAGAAACGCCAC